TATATATATATATATATATATATATAAGGAACTGGTCTTAAATCTTCTTTTAACAACTGACACGTTCACAAGCGCTACACCTCTTGATGAGGTACCGATGAAAGGAACAGAATACACCAGTTATTCGAATTAATAATCACCTGCTGATAGCAACACTGTTAAATTTTCAGCACACTTCTGTTCTCCTGAACTCACTCATACCGACTATCACATGAAGTATCATGAAATAAGAGAAAGGTCACTTTTAGCAGATTGAAAAGGCAATTTTAAAACTTAGCATCTTATTTCTGGATATGATTTAAAAATTATATATGATTTTACGGATTCCAATGTTTTGAAGGAAGACTGTGAATAAATATCCAAATATTAAGAGAATAAGCTTAAAGCTGAAATTAAAGAGTAGAGGTTAATTTTAAATAAGTATTTTCTGGTTCGAAGGTGCTTAATATGTTATCCTCTAAAGCTGCTATTACTTCTCATTATTGAAATTAACAATCTTGTTCAGTAGAACTCATGGAAGTGAGAGGATGACCTAGAATGGTCAAATTGGGGATACAAACCTCAAAGGACAGAAAAGTCTGATAAATATCAGGGTTTGCAAAAGTAAGTAGTTGAGAATGTGCAATAGTTCAGTCACGCCAGGTGGATGGGAAATGGTTCTTCATGCCGTAGTCTTGCTTTAAGTAGTTCATTTCTCGAAACTGACATAAAAGATACACAAGGATGTATTTCCAGTCACGGGGTGTGCAATAGACTTACCTCCACTTGGTGCACTCTGGGCAACGTATACTCATACGGCCCCTCCGTATGTCATATTCCACCAATTTCACAGTACTCACCTTACCCTTTTCTCTACCTTTGTGTCTGTCTATCTCTTTTGCATCTGCGAATCGCTCTTCTGTTCCCTACACCTCGACTTTCTGCTACTTTGATTAACCTTCCCTCTGTGAAGCCCGAAGTCAGCTAAATTGCTAATGATAGTTATCGAAACGCCTGCCATTTGAAATAAAGTTCTAGTCACTAGCACCGTATTTATCATTCCTTCATTTTCTTAAAAACAATTTGAATTTATTTTCTACTCATCAAAACAAATGTTATTCAATTTAAAATGCTGCAGAATCACCTACCTCGGTTTTAGCCAGCTTTAAATGTTCCGGTCTCCTACCCATCCTGTAATGCCTTAAATGTCGTAATAACTTCGTGATAGTAATGTCTTTTTCATGACATCAACCTAACTCCGTCTCCTTTATTTCAAGATGGTTTAGGTTAAACTTTAAAATTTCCTATTTAATTCTGCAAGCAATTACTCAATCTCTAAAGTAATGAAATTATTTGCAATATTTTAAGTAAAGTTTTCATACCATTATTAACGACCAACTTGTGGGACACGTTATCGCTCAACAATTGGTCATCTCTCATGTCATCTAGCTGGCTTAGACATGTGGGACACGTTATCGCTCTGTGCGTCATCGTATGCCTGCATGTCTGCTCGCCAGGATTGGGAGGTACGGCCGTGCAACTCTGTGTGCTGCGACCGTACAAACAGTGACCAATCATCAACCATCCTGATCATGGTAAGGCCCTCTACGTGTACACTTTATCCACAATACTCGTTCCGAATAAACATGCTCCGTGCTACACGTCTGTTTCCTTTCATACCTGTGATATAGCTTAGCTGGTTCTGGGAGTCTAACTAGATGTTGGAGGATCTGCCATAGAGATTTCTGAGTCAGTCAGGCTTTAATAAAGTAGCAATCCGCTATAAACTCAAGAAAAGAACTTTAGACATCTTTAGTATTTGATATGATCATTTATTGCATATTTCACAATTCATGATTTGGTAAATATGAGTGTCGTTAATCCCCACTCATATTATCAAGACTGTCTGAATTAGTTTTAGAGTTTAGTACTTTGATGCACATTGTCCTCCAATGAATCGTTGTAGGGCGACATTGTCAGCGATGATGAGTCACTCTAAATTAACACAAAATAAGAACACTTATTTTTAATTTTTTTCTAAATTTCTCAGCTAGGTTTGTTGATGTCAGTGACGTTTTGAATTTGGCAAATGTTGCGTTTTAACTGATACTGAATATTATTCCTACTTCGCGTTTCTTACAAATATAAAATTTGTGAAAAGAAATGATCCCATAATTTATCTACGTTTGTAAAATTTGCAATGAAATGGAAAAAAAGATGCTCAACTTTTAATTAAAAGTGAGCCATCTCAAAATTACACTTTCAATTTCATCTGTGGGACACGTTTTCGCTCAACAATTGGTCATCTCTCATGTCATCTAGCTGGCTTAGACATGTGGGACACGTTATCGCTGTGTGCACCGTATGCCTGCATATCTGCTCGCCAGGATTGGGAGGTGCGCCGTACAGCTCTGTGTGCTGTGACCGTACAAATAGTGACCAATCATCAACCATCCTGATCATAGTAAGGCCCTCTACGTGTACACTTTATCCACAATACCCGTACTGAATAAACATGTGTGTACACACTTGATCCGCAATATACGTCCTGAATAAGCGGGTACACTTGATCCGCAATATACGTCCTGAATAAACGTGGCTACACGTCTGTTTCCTTTATAGCTGGGCTATAGCTTAGATTGTTCAGGCTTTAGTAAAGTAGCAATCCACTACGCATCCACTCTATACGCAACTATCTCACAAATCTGCTATTTTATACCAAATTGCATTGTTAATTGAAATTAAATTAAAATTTCATATCAAAGGGATACAATGCTACTTTCTTTAAATGACAAATTTTGTTAAGGAGTTTATTCAATGTTAACATACCTTTGGCGGCTTATTTTCCTTACTATCAGTAGGATTCTGATAGTGGTGGGATATTTGGCCTTCCTCCCAGGCTTCAATTGGCTTAAACGATTGTTTGTTTGAATTTCGATGAACAGCTGATTTGCTTTCGATTTCCTTCTTCAGCTGACGGAGTTTTTTCTTCTGATGAGACTGAATAAAGGGAAAAATTGATCACAATAATACTTTTAGGAATGAGATAAATTTGAACGAATACCGCTAAGCCAAGAAGCCCCGCAAATAGCATTTCCCTGCTCTTGACTGAAATAAGATCTAAGATAAATCAAGCTGGAATGGAAAGCTGCAACAAATCTAACGCATGGCAAGTCCAGAATATTGTGGACATAATGACTTCGATGAGTTTGAGGCTCCATTTATGAAATTAGAGCATTACAGAATAAACTATGCTTCGTATGAGAATATGTGGAACGGAAATTCTGATGTTCAAGCTAGACTAAATCTCTTGATCTACTCCCCGTTTTATACCTTGCACTTCCATGAACAATCCTTGGTCATTCGGATAACCTCAAGCAAGATAAAATCTTCTTTTGCAGTCATATGTTCATAGATTAAGAAACGAACGAGCGTATTCACGTTTGTATGCCAACAAGAATTAAATCGAAATTTCGGTATGCCGTAGTTTAGGCTCAATTATGAAACCCACTCATTACTCATTTTAAGTTTGAGAAAGTTTCTCAATCTGCATCAAACTCTCTGAAGGATTAGCACAATTTCAGGAATATGATTTCATTACACTTCCTTTGCATTCCCATACAGTACAAACATTTCATAATAAAATTACACTAACTTAACCGATTATTGTGCGAATTTTCTTAATTCTCAGATTGCATGACACTGCCCAGCTATGGTGGTACCCAATAAGGGCAGTCTCCAAAAATAAAAATTTAAGAAAGACTCTATGTGAGTAGGAAAATTATCTTTTAGTCACGTCTGTTTTGAAAATAATTTTATTATTCTAGTTCGTGTGCCTATGGCTTAAATCACCCTCGTCATAATGCTTAGACCAGTTTATTAATCCACTTTTTCTATAAAGTACACTGTAATTATCTTCTCACTCGCTCTCTTGTAAAAAGGAATCATGTGGACATTCTCTGTATTTCCATTCCCATGGATACGTACGCTTACTACTTGTTTGCTCATCCTTCACATCCCATCTCTCTACACCATCCCTTACGTGCTCAATCCCTCAATGTGGTTAATTTAGTACACTTTGTCATACACTGCACTTTGCATTTCACCTTTTGGAACTGTTGATTGGTTGCATTAACTCCCAGCTATAGCCTTGTTTCAACAATACAGTTCTTGATCATTAGATCCTTCAATTCGATGATTCATCAAGTGCGCCAGTAGGCGATGACCCTGATAGCATTTCTTCTTCTGCATATAAAATGCCTCCTACGCAATCTTTTAATAATAAAACGTGAACAAAACAGAAAGCATAGGTCAATATGACTACTCATTGTATTTTTATGAGAAGGTATTTCATTAGTCTGAACAAATTAAAAAAACACAAATTTTAAAAATCCATGCTTATTTAAACGTGTAGAAAGGAAAAAAAACAACTTATATAAATATGAATTATCTTATTATTCCCTATTTTTACTCTTATTCAGTTTATGGAGGTTCGATTGCATTCGCTCGTAACTTATTCTGCTCTAAGCGCTTAAAGGAGAGGGGGCGGGGGTGGAATTGGATAATTCGCCACAAGTCGACCATTTAATATAAGCCAAAGAACTTTAGACATACAAAAGTTCATTTGTGACTGGTGATAGTACTTTTGTCATAGATGGTTATGTGAACTTTGAAAGGAAAAAAATAAACTTTACGCTCATTTCAGTCTCCTGAACTTGTTTTTGAATCCTACCGGTAGATCATTTTACCTCATCCACACAAACCAAGGTGTCTAAATTCCCCTATTGTGTGGTGTCAACAGGTAAGATATGGACAAAATATTAACCTGAGTTAAACGCAATTTTTTATCCTTCTTGGAAATAGTCAGGGGATAAGGAAGTGAAAATCTGCATATTTGAAAGTAAAGAATGTCAATTTAATCCCTTTGCTTAGGCAAGCCAATGAATATTACAATAAAGTAAACCGCCATTGAAAAAATTCCGTAAAAACGGTCAATATTCCACTTTATTTTGGTTATAGCTAAGGATTATTGGGGTCTTTATTACACTAACCAATTATTTTAAACTTGATCATTTCTATGTGTTGGCTTTATTCTGCATTTAGTCATGTTGAAATTAAAGATAAAGGAAAGATGAACATATTTGAAACGAGAACTATGTAGATGTAATTGGCACTCAATCACTTACTACATTTATCCCCACATAAAGAAAGACTCTTAACTATCACAACCCCGAATAAGCATTTTAGCTGGAGGTATTAAACTCAATTCGAACTATATAAAATTAGTTGCCTTCACAATCGAAATCTTAAACAATGGTCCTCCTCTACCCTTGCAAATGCTTTACTGAAAGCCCTTTCCACGTAAAATTCTGATGCAAGCTCAAAGCATATGTACTGGGTAATCTGAAGATTATCACTGCCATTTGCAAATTCCATTTGCTCCATTTTTCAATAGAGAGCGTTTTAAAAAATATAGGAAAGGTTATGGCAAAATTCCATTGATTTCTTTAATTTAAAAAGTACTCCCTTTTTCAAGTAAACTCAAAGTAGATCATAAGTTTTATAAGGGAAAATGTAAGCTAACATACCTTGATAATTAAGCCAAACACAAAATAAAAAATTACAAATTTTGACAATATACTAGTATTAGGATTAAAAACATGATAATTTCAAAGATTTTAAGACAAGAGGTTGCATTGGGTTGTACAATTAAGTCTAATGGATGAGATTTTGAATTGTTAACATATGCAGATGCTCATTGGTTAGCGTTATTTCTAATTTGGCAACCGTGAGGACAAATTTTTAACTTGAGTGACATATTTGTAGTGAACTGACTTCTACTGTGTTTCTGCCCCCGAAATGACTGATTTAAACGTTTTCATGTATTGAATAAAACCAAATAACCTTCAAAACACTGTCATTCCAAAAAATCCGATCATTTTTGGTTTAGCAACTGAAAATACCTCGGACAATTTTTTGAGTCCAATAATGATTCCAACTCTTGCATTTTGATACACAAGTGAAGCACATTGCAAATTCTACTTAAACTCCAAATCAAAACCGATGACGATCAAGATTTTTTGGTTAAATGGAATAAGAAGAACCATTAAATTAAGCTTTAAACGGAGTTCTCCCATTACCTATGGCGATCATGATTCCACTTCAATTGATTCCGATTATTCGATGAGTAATAGGCAATTTCGACTTACGTTCAGCAGAATCAAGGTACTTATCAATCCGATAATAACTAGGACAAAGACGAAAACGATACAGATCAGGATCAAAAGGAGAGGCATTTGCATAAATTGCTGCGATAAGCTTCCAAATGTCGGTTCCATCACAGCCTTCCCACTTAAGGAAGGTGCAGAAGCATTAGCAGGACTTGTAGCCTATAAAGATGAATTATAGTGAAAGTACGTAAATATCGAACATGCTAATAAATGCTTCGTGTGTGGTTTAGATTAATGATAAAACTTAATTACAATATTGAGTATATTCAATAGCGCAGAAATTAATGATGTTAAAGTAGCCAAGCAAAAATTGGCTGTAAATAATGTACCATTTAGTAGGAGTGAATTGTAACTTTCAGTTGTGCAGAATAAGATCCTTGCTAAATGTCTTATCAATTTATATAGTGCACAATAGGTAATTTGGAGCAACCAATCGCAAACAATCTGTGTTGGTGAGTTAAGAGTAATGGACCAGGGGATCATTATGTCAATCGTAGATAGTAAAAGGCTTTTGTCTAAGTAGGGAACTAAAGGCGAGAGAGTTGGAGCGCTCCCATATGAAAAGACAAATCCATTTATTCTTTTAGAAATGTTTGGTCCTTGGTCCTTTTCTCAAGTACGTGAGTGAATTTTAATTTAGTACACCAATTTGATCCAAGCGATCAAATGAAAAGTGTGACTTCGAAAGAAATACAAGCAAATCTCTTTGCTAGGGGTTAAGAATTTAAAAAATAGTATCTGATTTTTGGCAATCACAAACACCATAAATTCTGTAAATTAATTTTTGGTAATATTTTGCCTGGTGGGTCATAAAATCAGCTTTCTTTCCAGGTAAAAACAACCTGGCCCCATATACCAAAAGAATCGCTCTTAATTCTAAAACTTGAGTTGCATCACCATCAAATATTTTAAAACGGGTCAATTCTCTAGCAGCAATACAGTTGAAAATAAATGTAAGCCAGCACATCCGAAGTACTAAAATTTTCACCCCAATTGCCTTGCTAGCTAAGACTAAAAAGAAAACGCTTGCAATTCTTAAGCATGAAGTTTAGCTGACAATGAGACCAGCGCATTTGAAGTTCAACGGAAATCTTAATTTCAGGACCCGAATCCCCCCCCCACACTCTGTGCACTTCTCCATCTTCTTAAAAATATCTTATTAAAAGATTTGCCACCATTTTCAAATGGAGTTTAGGAAACGATAGCTTTATTCTGTGCTGATTGAATAATAAACCACTGAACTGAAACTGTTATGTTATAAATAAGTGGATGCATGATAGACATACTTCCACGTGGTGCACTCTGGGCAACGTATACTCATACGGCAAAGAAGTCTATAAACTGGCAGTTAACTTCTGACTTCAAATTAGCATGACCCCACTGTATATCATATCCGATCACTTTCACAGTACTCACCTCACCTTACCTTTTCCACCACCCTTGTGTCTGCCTCTTTTACATCTGTGAGCCACTCTGCTATTCACCCCCCCCCCCTCTCGACTCTTAGTGACTTTGATGTTCCACCCTCCGTGAAGCCCGAAGTCAACTAAAGGGTAAATGGTAACTTTCATAAAGCCCACCATTCGATATAAATGGATTGACTCCCCTAGGCAATCATTAACATCTACAAATATTGTATGATCTCAAATTTAATTAGTTTTAATGAAAAGTCAACTTTGCTATTTTGAGTTTGCTTGGAATGTATTCAGTCAAAGAGGTTTAAAGTAGTTGCTTAGTAATTACGTCTGGCTTCTCAGCAGCTAATCTGTTAGTTTTGCCGACCTAAACAGACACATGACGTCTAAAAGGCTTGTGGTTCTTCCCCCCCCCCCCCCCACAAAGAAATTTCCTTTGACTTTGTTCT